TTGTTCTCATTCAGCAATGAATGAGAAAGACAAGATGAACTGCATTCAGAGTAATTAAGATTTTGCTACTGAACAGAATTCTACTCCATGTTTAAGTTTTCCGAGTGTGAATCCAGATTTTAAAAAAGTACTCTGAAAGTTAAGGGTAAAAATTTGAGCTACAATACACCAATATTAAATCTGACAGACTCCTCCTCCTCTTTGTATTATTTTAGTGAAGCACATTCTCAAAATATAAACAAACTTAATAATATGTTAAAACTGAAGCTGTTTTCAGACACCCACAAGCAGATTGCTAAACAATTTAAGATTAACAGTATTAAAACCTACCTTTACAGGTTGACATAACCTCAAAATGTGTGTCCAAAACAGCAGCTGTAGATTCAACTCTATCAGCAGCTAGAATGAAGTGTTCACCAGTATTTGTACATTTCACAACTGAGTATCTACAATGGAATAATGTATCTGTCATACTAAATAATTACAAATACCATAAAGCTACAAATTGTTTAAATGTTTCATCTCTAAAAGACAGCAAAATACGTTTCAGGAACTACATGTCCAATTCACTCTTACATCTCAAAGGAATTTAAAGATAATGTAACAACAGGAAGAAGAAATACTTTTTAAAAAATAAAAATGAAAGCAAGAAATAATATATTAAGAGAGAGAGAACAAAGTTTACAATTGTGTCACTTAAAAAAAAAAAAAACCTCAAAAAAACCCAAACACAAACCAAAGCAGCCAACACAAAAAAGATGCCTTAAATAAAATGTAATGGTAGTCCAGAACATTTTAACTTTGTTGATAAATATTGATAAGGATTCACAGGGAACACTGAACCAAGTTAAAGGCACATACGCTGCATCCGGCATGTAACAAACTGCCTGGTTGGCTGGCACAGTCCAAGGTTGCGTGGTCCAGACCAGCACGCTAGCAGGGGATGATCCATCTACAGATGGAAATGACAAGTACTTTACTTACAAGTATAACAAAAATAAAAGCTATCAGTTTTAAAATCTATACAGAAGTCATACCTATCACAGAAGCCAGCTTAGGTGGTGACTTTAACAGGGGAAATTTCATGTACACAGAACGACTGACATGCTGCTCATTGTATTCAAGCTCTGCTTCAGCCAAGGCTGTTCTGGGTAGATAGCAAACATAAGTTAACACACTTGAACATGAAAAGCTATTGATAGCCTTGCTAAAATTTTGAAGACAAAATAGAAAGTTGATTCTTACTTTGCTGAAGGGGACCAGAACACAGGTTTATAGTCCTGATAAATGAAGCCCTAAAAAGGAAAGGGAGAGAAAAAAGAAAGTGAGGAGAATCGAAACTCATAACAAATCAAACTTCAACAAAAGTTTAACATACCTTATCATACATTTTATAGAAGACTCTCAGCTGGTTTGCTTCATACTTTGGATCAAACGTACGGTAGCAGTTAGCCCAATCTGCCATTACACCCCAACGAATGAAGGCGGATTTCTGTTTCTCAATTGCTCTTTCTGCAAATTCTCTGGCTGAAGGAAATAGTTCCATTAAGCACATGGTTTAGCCTACTAAGATCCATACAACACCATTTTAAATATGCTATTGATGTGTTTTAAAAAAGCCTGAGCTGGACATATTGAAACTATGCACTAATTACTGATGTGTAGTGAATAGATTATTGTGGCTGAAAAAAAATATGTATTTCGGAGAAGCCGTTCCATAGAATGACTGCAAAAAGTAAAGAAGATCCAGGAGTAGCACTTTTTTACTAATATGGAGACATAAAGCACAAATGTCTCTAGAACATAAACTTTCTTTTTAAGGAAGAGGGAAAAAAAGTAAGTATACTTAGTTATGAAGAACAATTTCTCAAGATGCATTCTCAAATAATGTAAAATAAGTAAGAGTGAAAATTAACCACATCTGTTGATGTTGATCCAAACTTTTCAAAGCAACATGCCTCTGAAAATAAGTTAGCCCATTTCACTGACGCAATTTCAAGCTAAAGCAGTTTAAATTGCTCATTACATATGGCTTTGCAGCTGAATGTTGATGTCTTTCAATACATATGGTATTTGAAATTATTTTTTCAAAACAGTTTCCATATAATATAGATGAACTTTCTCTGAAAGGATCACCCCTACAGTTTTGTAGTACTGTTAAAAATACAGTCGACAAACACATTCCTACTTATGATACTGAGCCAAACTGTCCTGATTTTTACATGCATTTTTAAAGTTCCTAATCAAGTTCAGTCTTCAAAAGCCAAAAGGATGTTGATCTGGTAAATACCAGCCTCATGACACTACACAGTTAAACAAAGCAGAAATCCAAATCCTCTGCCCTCATTTTGTTTTTTTTTAAACCCATGGTCAATGGTATGCATGTTCATTACAGCAACAAATTAAGCCTGTGTCCAATTATCCCATTTCATAAGATTACATGGTACTCAATCTGCTTGGCAAATACATAGAGCCATCATAGAAAACGTCACACATAGCTAATAGAAAAGCCCACAATAAAGTGTAAAAGCTATATATAAAGCACAAAATACGAGTAGGATGTACAAATACTTAAGCCAACTTTTTCTCTAAAGATTTTGCAAACAGTAGTTTACCTCTCTGTCGAATTTGCATTGGTGAAAGGTTTTCAGCTCCTTTGACTTCTGACAATGCCTTCAACTCAATTGGCAATCCATGGCAATCCCATCCTGGCACATAATGTACTTTATAACCTCTCATCATGTAGAAACGATTAGTGATGTCTTTCAAAATCTGAAAAGACACAAGGGTCTGTTATCACTTGAGCTCCCCCATGTGGAATAGCTACATTATTAAGATCCTCCTATTAAAAAAAAAAACAACTATAAAATGCTGCATGATATGTCTACATTTAAGACTGTGCATTTGTGATTTTTCTTATCTATCATTCTGTATTTTGGCAGAACCTGAGAGGACCTCTGATCAAAAGAATCCCCATTCACTATAACTGAAAGATGCAGTTTATACACTTGCAAGACTTGAAGTGAACAAAATCCTACTTGCTCTCGTTTTTAAAACACTGAGCTAGATCTACAGCATTGGCCTACTGCATATTACTGTTTTTTGATGTAAGTGATCACCTACCAAAACCTGTCATTTTCAAAAGTCCAAGCCTTGGCACTAGTACTATAAAATGCTGTGGGTCACATTTTAGTGTTTCCTACTTTGTAGCATACGTAATGCTGTCATTCTCATGACTGAATCTAAACGTATCGAAGTGTATTTACGAGTAGTATTTCAAAGCTGAAATTCATATTTTAAAAGCCATTAACATTTAGCTGTTGTGGTTCCACTGAGAATACCCAGATAAAATAAATGCAATTGAACAAACTTACAAAATACTCTGAGGAAATAAGAATAGCAAGGCACAGCTTAACCATGCATCCCAGTAACATTATTACATACGCACATACAGAAATATACATTCACCCATGTGTGTATGCGCAATACATTCAATACGCAAATAAACTGTGCATTTAATATTGCTTAGAAATTAACTACAGGCTGGACTTTCTCTAAAAAGAAGTTCTCTTTTTACTAAAACATTCAGTCTCATAAATGAACACTAAGCATGTAGGTAACATATACTTGTATATGGTATTTATGTCATGGTATGGTATCTACATAACCATGGCATCGTCTGGTATCCACATAACCACATCATTTGCTTTTTTAGAAGCCCCATTTGCCAAAACTCCAAACACTTTCAAGTGTTATTGATTCAAATGGAAACGGAGAACACAAAGCACACTACAGGAAGTGTTTATGACTTCAAAACAGTAAATATTTACTTTATTTAATGCATGGCCAACATGAGGGTCTCCATTGGCGTAAGGTGGTCCATCATGCAGACAAAATTCCTGCTTTGTTTTCCTTTGCCTCTGCCATGAATACAGCTCCGAAAAACCACATTTCTGCAAAGACAACAACAAAAAACCCCACCTAAATCATCACAGGTCTTTGCACTTCCAAAAGGTCTGCGCTTTGGCTAGGTGGATAAAGATATAATAAAACCAACCAACCAAAAAAAAAAAAAAAAAAACCAAAACCAAAAAACCCAAACAAACAAAAATCCCCAAAAAAACAACCATCCAAACCAACCAACCAACAAACAAACAAAAAAACCCAAACCAAACAAACACAGCGAGTTAACTTTTCTAACTGTGTAATGCAAGACATTAGCGGAGTAAAAGTATCAAACGACAGGCATAATGCGAAGCCCGACGCTGTTACTCCGGCTCTCCGCCACCGGGAGGGTCGCTACCGTTTCTCCGAACACAACTGAAGGACTCGGGAGCCGCCCGACCGTAACAAACCACCGACGCTCCCGAGCTCTCCAGCCTGCCCCGAGCGCCCGCTCCGGCCCCCGCCGCGACCCCCCCGCCCGCCTCCCGGGGCCTCGGCCGCTACCTGCTGCGTCTCCCGCTCGGTCTGGGGCTGCAGCCGCCCCGGCAGCTGCGCGGGGAAGCGGCTGCGCGGCAGCAGCACCGTGTCCCCGTACTGGGAGTCCTGCCGGCTCTCCGCCGCCAGCTGCCAGCTGCCGGCCTCCGAGGCGGCGGCGCGCGCCCAGCCCCAGCCCGCCGCCGCCGCCCGCCCCGCCCGGGCCCGCAGCCCGGCCCGGGCCAGCGGCGGTGCCCGCCAGGCCCCCAACATCCTCCCGGGCTCCCCGCGGAAACGCTTCCGCCTGCGCGACGGGAAGCGGGCGCGGCGGCGACGGGCCGCGGGAAGGGCCGCCCCGCGCAGCAACGCGCGTTTTCCTCCCCGACACCGAGACCTCCCGGCGGGCTGGGGGAAGCGCTTCGGCCCTCCCCGGAGCCGGGAGAGCTTGGGGGGGGAGGGAGGCTCTTGCGAGCTTTTGTTTTGTAACGGCGGCGGCTCCCGTGAGCGATCGGGGCGAGCTGTAGGGGAAGGAGCCGGCGCAGGGGCCGCGGGGCGGAGCGGGGCGGGCAGTGAGCTCCCGGCGGCCGCCGCCGACCGGACTTGGGCGAGTTCGCCGTCGGAGAAGGGGAGCGGCAGGAAGGGCTCGGAGCGGGACGACGGGCGGAGAGGGAGGGAGAGAGCGAGAGCGAGCGAGCCTCGGCCGGCGGGGCAGGCGAGGCGGAGACGGTGAGTTCGGTGTGGCGGCGGCGGGGAGAGCCGCTCCCCTCAGCCGCGGCCGCCTGCTTCGCGGTACGCGGTGCCCCGCGGAACGCGGTAAGAGATTAAATGTTACTGCTCGGTAACGCAGCCTGCGCTGCGCTGCGCTGCCCGCAGTTTACCACTGAGAATCCTAATGACAAGAAAATCTGGAATAGCCTTTTTTTTTTTTTTTTTTTTTAACTATATAGTCAGAAGGCCTCAAAGCACTTGGGTGAAATGAGGTAGCACAGCCCTTTCCCTCAGGAAACCTGCAGGTGAACTGCCGTGGGACCCTGGCAATCCCACTGCGGGCCCTACCCCGCTTCTGCTGGGTAAATCCTGGTTCCTTGCGCTGTGCTGAATGAAAAGTTTATCTTTTAATAGATGGGAGCCCAAGTTTATTGTAAAGAAATAGTGAGCTCGAGTCACTTGGGCTTTGAAGAGTTTGGAGGAAGAAGTCATAGGTTAGCACCTGCATTTAAAGGCATGCTGCCTATGATGACCATCTTCTCCTTTAATCAGGTGAAATTATAACTTTGGGAAATGGGTGTTTGCAGAAGAGACAGTGAGACAGCAACATCAACAAATCCTTCCCACTTATTTTGATAAATTAATTGTAGCCATCCTCTAATATTTCTTACTATATTTCAAACTTAAAATGCATAACAAGAACTGGAGAACTCATTCATTTTAGTAGTTATCAGAGCCTACTACAATTTATCAAGTTGAAACCATTATATTCAACAATTTGGCTGCTAGGCTAGGAGAAAGGATGGATGGTCTTTGGAGGACGTGTGTTTTGAAAATAATACGCAAATTTAAACTGAGGGAGAGTTGCTGTGCAGTCTTTGTAAACTGTAGTTTTGTAAGTCAAACTTGTTTGTCCAAATCAAGCAATATATTATTGAATATACTGTGTAAGTATACATTAGACATTGCCCTCATCAGAAAAAATGTGCCATAAACTTTTATTATAAATAAACTAGTTAAATTAAGATCAAAATGTTAGAGAGATGAGAAACTTATGGCCAACTCGCACGCATACTTACCTAACAAAAAAGGTCCAACACACCAGAATATGTGCCACGCAGGAGATGCAGCTCTGTAAAAATTTGAGGCACCTTTTGCACTAATAACATATTTTGCACTTCATTAGTTACTCTGTATTGGAGAGATGCAGGTCTTGAACCTCCCACTTCAGTTTCTCTTAATAAATCTTGTTTTTTATAAGAATGTTTTAATTTTAAGGTTTGCTTAGAGATTTCAAGCATAGGTTCACTACAGAAAGAAAATATATTTGTTTGCCTTAACAATGTCCAAGAAAAATGTTCCAAGAAACACCTTGGGTCAAGCTTCAAGAATGTAAGATAGTATTTCTGTATTGTTTTCTGAGGCTGTTGAAACTTTATGCAAACATTTAATAAAACAAACCTTTAAAACAGGTAAGTTTATTTTACAAAGCAATAAAAAATGTGCAGTAAAAGGTCAAATGAAGAACAAGAAGCTGAGCATGAAAATCTTAATATTCTGAGCGCAATTCTTTAACCTGAACTTCACATCTAATATGCTATTTTAACTTTCTATCTCTCAAAAGTGTGCATATTCCAGGTATTTTCAGTATCAAATGAATTACATTCAATCTTCCTTCCTATTAACTTGTTTCACATGATGGTATATACTTAAAATAGTATCTGTTTTCCCATGCTTTACAACTTTCAGTTGTTTGAGGGCTGTTTTTTGCCACAGGTGGCATTTCCAAAATTTCCCCTGTAACCATTGTTACCACTCCTAGATAGCCCACATGTGTGCTTTGGGTATGGACCTTGGCTATTTTACAAGACTCCAGAGCACTTTGCTCCCATCCATGAGCAGTAAATAATAATTAACAATAGCAACTGTGCTTTTTGAATGTACTTATACAATCACTCTACTCTTTCGGCTTCAGAGATCTTCTGACTTCAGAGATACCCATACAGTGCTTCAAAAATGCTGAAAAGTTTCTTAAATCAGCTAAATTTGGGATTTTAATACCTCTGATATTTGCATTTCCCTTTGCTGTGAACTTGAGGTCACATCAATATCATCTACAGTAGCTAGCCTTATCACCTCATTATATTACACTTTACCAAGTAGATTTCTCAAGCAAGAAAGGTAAGGCATTGTATAACGACCTATTGCCAATTAGGCAATACTTGCTGTGATTGCTGCCAATGTTAATTGTGAGGGTAGTCTAATATATCGTCTTCTGTGTGGTGATTAATGAGTTCCTCTCTATTTTTTCTGGCTCTGTGCTCAAGTGTTTATAGTTGGAAGTGTATCATACATGTGAGCCCAACCCAAAAAAGCATGTAATCAACAGAGATAGAAAAAACCTGGCAGGAAAACATACAAAACAATTAGCTCTGAATTTTAAAGAATACAGTGTGGTTATCAATACTTCTTTTTCCTGAGGTAGAGAAAAGCTGGGAGGACCAGATATTTGCTAGCCTTCTGCAAGAGTGGTAGTTATTCTTCTATTTGGGAACTGAAGGCACAGTGAATTGCACCAATGTGCACTGGGCAACAGACGTAGAAGACAATACAGTAGGAAGAATGACAGGACGTGCCATGTTGAGGGGAGGAAGGAAGATGTAATAGATTTCTTTAAAGAAATCAAAAGAAGTTAAAGAAATACAGGAAGGATGGTAAAATGTAGATGAACAGAGTTTCGCATACCAGTGCAGTGTTTGCAGTATCTGCATATCATTAGCCTATCTTGTGTCCACAGTCACACCATCTACAAAAGCCTGTTTTATATTTAAACAAATAAAAATAGTAGGTAAAGTTGCTATTGGCATCCTGTCTGGTAGCCTTGTACTTGAGTCTGGGCAGAAACTAACTATAGGTTCAGGTCAAAAAATGAACTTATGTTCAAAATGTAAAAAAAAATGAGTGCTGTGTGTAGACAACACTTTTTCTTAACTTTTATGATAAAGAGCTTCTGCTGTTCTTTAATGCCAAAGTTTATTTTAAAGAGGAGAACTTGGCTCACTGTCAGAGAGAACATGGATATTTGAAAAATCTTGTCTAAAATAGCTTTACATCCCTGTGTTTGTTAATTATATTTTTAAAAAAATCAGAGCTTACCTCATTACTACTCACTGGCAGTAATCCACTTTTCCTTTCCTACTGAGCTTAAATGGTATCTGTTTGGAATGTCACGCAAAATATTTTTCTTCTTGTCTTCTCTGGAAGAGAGAAACATGTACAAGTTTGCTTTTTGTTTCTTTTCAGCATTCACTATGGCTTCTCCAGCTCTACTCATGCGCGTGGTTGCCTCTGCGTACTCTGTTGCGGAAAAAGCTGCAACGATTGTTAGAAATGTAATGGCCGCAGGAGATCTGGGGATAGTGGAAAAGGTATTACTTTTTCTTTGTTCCAATTTAATTTCTCTTAATAATGCTGAGTTAGATACAGGTAAAAGTGCTATTTTTGAAGACCAGCAACTGGGGAAGGAAATATAGTCCTCACCTCTCTGTTACAAGAAATACTCCTTATTATGGGATTAAAAGCACTGGCGAAGTGTCTTTTGATCAGTATTTCTAAAGAATGTTCCAACACTTAAACACACCATAATTTTGTCCTGATTCGCCTCAAAACTTAAGCTTTGGATAGCATGTCAGAATTCATAATAATGAATCTTTCCCATTAATTTTCATACCTATATTCTAACATCTGTAGCACAGCTTAAAGTACTGTACTCTTGATGAATTCTGGGTTAGGATAAATCAGTGTTTAGTTTCTTTAAAAAAAAAAAAAAGAACCTTAAATTTTATTGTAAATCACAGTTTTCAAAATAAATTCTGAGCTTCAAATTTAATTCTAAATAGAAAACAGAAATGAAATTACAGTCATCTGCCTGAAGTTCTCAATTTGCTGTTAGTAAGCTGCACTGATGAGCCGGGATCTTTGTTTTGACTACAGCACTAGAATTGGTGAAATTAACTTTTGAACTTAATTCTAGCTTTACAGGTATATCACAATATTATGGACTGCATTACGTATCTATGTTATTTTTGGTCTTTACATTGAAGTAATTGCTGGTATTTACACTTTTCTGATAGTAAGCACTTTCAGCCAGTTGTGAAGAAAAGCCTGATCCTTTATGAGCCTTATTTTCAGTAGATGCAAAAAGAAAGTTTCTTTTGTCCCCATTTGGTCAGTTATATTCACTACTATGAAAAAATTTGCAAGTTTTTCTTATTCACTTTTTTTCCTAAGCAATTAAAATCAGGTATATGGGGGAGAGAAATAAAAAAACCCTGGAGAATAATGATCTGTGTTTCCAGAATTACTTAGATGCATAGCAGAATTCTCAGACACATAAGTAGAATACACTCTTCCATATAACCTGCTTTTATTTTCTTGGAAAAACTAATGCAGCTGCACTACAAGAAAGCCTTTAAATCCTTGCATCCAGAGGTACAAAGGAAACACTGTACTTTGATTAACCAGTTAATTTTAAATGCATAAACAGGTTTCATTAAGTTTATTTTTTAAGAGTCCAGCACGGTTAAGGTAATTGTAACTAAAACTAAATGCTGGCTTTTATCTGTTTAATTCAGTTTCACCTTAAAAAAAATGTATGTGTGTTAATATTAGTTCCAGTAAATCAGAAATGCCTTGCTCAGTCATTTTCTAATATAATAAAACCAGCAAATTAACACACTTTAAGCTCTGTAACCAATTAAGTAAATAACTGTAAATACAGTATCATAAAAGTGATTGAAAGTAACAGGCAATATTGGTTCTAAATAAGACTGGTAATACTTCCTCTTTTTTTTTTTTTTTTTTTTTTTTTTTTTATGAATACTACAAACACGCAAAATTAGATCTAAAGCAGAAGAGGTTCCTGTTTGAGGGACTAGCAATCTCAGGATACCTGCAAGCTTCTTGTTAAAGGTGGCTGGTGAAAAAAGAGAAGAACGCAAGAGAAACAATCTGTATGTGCCTCTGCTTTACAGTCTGGAGGGAAGAGATGCACAAGAACAGAAAGTGCTGCTTATCATCATTCATCCTTTTTCTGCAGACAGCAAACAGCAAGACCAGTTCCAACTGGTGTTACTGAAAGCTTTAGAAAAGCTAGGAAGATAGTGATCTTCCACCCCTTCCCTCAACACACTGACCTCTCATCCATTTATCTAGATGAGGAGAAACAGTTCAAGGGCACTTGAATTTTTAGGTAGCTCCTCTCCTTCATCTCCTGATGTTCGTAGTTTTCTTCACCCCAGTCAACTCTAAGCTCTCTGTTTTTATTGCTTCATCCTTGTAGCATTTTTATGTTTTGTTTTTTTTTTTTCCCAGTTGGTAGGTAGACATTTTATCTAGCCATTCTTACATTATTGATGACTGTTTTGAAGAACTAATTTATACTGTTGTATTAGGTTGGTGACCTGAAACAAAGGACATTCTCTGAAATAACAAGATCTTTCTGAGTCTAAACTTTGTGCCAAATTAAACCAAATTTATTAGGGAATGAGAGGGAAACTTCAAAGAAAAATACCAAGTTTCAGAAAAATAGGCATTTTGATAAGGGACAGGCTAGGCTTTTGAGAATGCAGAAATTACCCCATTACATGATTCTAAACAGAGTATTTTATTCCTATAGCTCATTTCTGTAGCTGGATAAAACAATTTCCATGTTGTCACCAGATAAGATACAAAAAAAATAAATTTTTTGTTTGATTCAGCTAAGATGCAAATCCTTTGATGAACTGACTTTCTTAATTTCTATGCTAACAACAGAAGTATTTCTTACTGGGATTCTGTCTCCAGACATAAAAGGGCTCCTCCATTCATAGATACATGAAGATTAAGGCGAGAAAGTATTAATAAATTACCTACTTCCACTATATAGCAGGTTATTAATGTTTAAGAAGAAATTACTGTAGCCCATCTGTCAATGTATGTTTGGCTACACTGCTTTTTTGGGAAGGCTTTCAGTCATTGTTTCATGTCATCTTGAGACACCAAATCCACTACTGCTCCTCTGGTATTTTTGCTGGAAAAAATGTATGGGTGTTACTGTCCAGTTCAACTTTACTGGTTAGCTTCTGGTCCTCCTTGGTCTTTCTCTGCTAGTCTAAGGAACGGTTCACTATTTAGAATTTTATCCATCATAATTGCTTCCATTATTTTTTTAAAAAACAAGCTAGATTAATTGGACCTTTAAATCACCTTTTACTAATACCTTCCCTATATTTTTCCTCTTTCCTAATATGTCATGTCTCTCCAATGAGCCTTAAAATATTTTTTCCTGTTAATATCTTAACTTTTGCTTTTCCATCTTCTTGTATTATAGCTGGGCTCATGCTTGTATTAATTTATTCTGTATGTATAGTATTTGCACAAACACATATTCAGTACAATTGTACCAGTGCATAAGAAGAACACAGCATGTAAATGTTGTTCTAATATCATACCAGCCCACCTTAGCTCTGGGGTATCCAGGGAAACTCTGCTTCTTGCAGTTTTTAGCCTGTCTCTCTCAAGGTCACTTACTAGGTTGATGACTTACCAAATTAGACTTCTTTTTCATTACAAGGTAGAGAGTCAGAGTGACACATGGGCGATTGTACTGGTGGTGGTGGTGTTTTGAAATAAACAAATTCCTATCCATCCTTTGACAGACAGGAGCCAATGACTTGCAGACCAAAGCTGACCGACTGGTACAAATGAGCATTTGTGCTTCCCTGGCACGGAAGTTTCCCAAGGTGACAATCATAGGAGAAGAAGTAAGTACCTAGTTTGTTTCATCCTAACAATTTAACTTGCTGTAACTTGCAGTGGAATTTGCTTTGGCAGGTTTTAGGAAATCTGTTTTGGTTTTTGTTTTGTTTTGTTTTTTAAATATTTACATCCTGTTTCATTTTTCCATTCCATTATCTCTGTCAAGAAAGCTGTGAGCAAATTCACAGTTGCAAGGCAAATTGAGGTGAGTCCAACACCTTTTTCTAACAATCCTGAAAATCCTTTTCTTAGGAACTGCCTACCGATGAGGTAACTGAGGAATTAATTGAAGATGGCCACTGTGAAGAAATACTGAAGAAAACTTGTCCTGCTCAGTACACGGGAATTAAAGAGGAAGAGGTAATGTGGTAATGTTATACATATGTCTTCATATTTTACACTATCTATATTACTTACAGATTTTAGCTAAGAAAGTGTTAAGAAAAAAGGTTATTTCAGTGTTGCTAGTTTTTCTTTTTCATTTGGAAACTGAAATATAGTCACAAGAATCACACCTCCAGAGTTTGAAATACTGCATATCCTTTTGTGCAACAACGGGAAATGGAAATTTGCTCCTTATGACTTGGGATTCAGATTAATTTGGAAGGAACCCACTTTGAACACTGGAAAAGTAATGTCATTTCCATGTTCAGTATAAGCCTTCGTACCTCTATTAAGCTATCTGCTGAGAAATTCCAGTTAGTTTTTAAGGGGGTTTTTTGTGTAAGAAACTATTGTAGGCCTATATCATATAATAATGTTAAAAATTTGAATCTCTCTATTTACTTACTGCCATAAGGAAATAAAAGCACTAATAAAATATATTCTTTGCATGGTAATGTACATGATTTGCATTTGTTAATTTTCCTTATTTTTTTATTTTTAAAGCTTGTAATATGGGTTGATCCCTTGGATGGAACCAAGGAGTACACTGAAGGTTAGCTTCTCTTTTAATTCTGCCTATTCAAAAAATATTATAGCAATGTAATGAAGTAGCATGTACATTTACCTAGTTTTATGACAGAAGTTACATACGATATTGTTTCATAAGGCTGATGTTGTTTCTATATTTTTTGACTTCTATAGAATTTTTTAACCATTCCATTCAGTTCTAACCAGCATTGAATATGCCCGATGGACTACTGAGAGCCCACCAGTTTCAATCATTTCAGGGAGCGAAGGGCTGCCTCTGATTGCTGGCAGGTTGTCTTAAGTTTTTAGTCAAATGTACAGTTTTGCATATACTTTGAATCAAGGGACTGTATCTCCCATTCGCACAGGAACATGCTCAATTATATTTACATCCTGCTATTCAAACAACCCAAATACCACAGCTATACTTGTAGACCTTTTAAAATAAAACAACATCTTCCCACAAATCATAATTCTCCATTTGTGAGAAGAAACTGTTTTCAGAAAGCCTAATTTGTGTCCATATAAATAGACTCTAAAATGAAGAAAAAAATAAGAAAAACCACCAAACCCAATATGCTGAAACCTCACTTTAGTCTCCTGCTGCATCTTTTAGTTGATTAATGTGAAATCTTTTAGCCAAATTTTTTTCCCCTTTTCAGGGAGAGAGATGTACAACTGTCAGCAAATTGCTAGTTTTGATTACCAGTAAAGAATTCAAACCACAATTACAGAAGAGTGTCATCGTATACTGCTATTTAGTTGTATCTTTAAACTTCTTTCTCATTATTTGTTAATTATAACATTGTTCTATTATGAGAATTCTATCTGGGGCATTTTTTTGCAGACCTCAAGGCTACATGACTAAAAAAAACTGTATCAGCCAACCTATTACACCTGAAAATCCTGATTGGTATTTGCATTTTTAAGATACCACCCTGCATATCAATTTTTGGACTTCTGTTGAGGCTTTATGTTTATATATACATACTTTCTCTTTTTCAAACATAACTACATTCATATTATTTCTATACAGGTCTCCTTGACCATGTAACAGTTCTTATTGGAATTGCTTATGGAGGCAAAGCAATAGCAGGAGTTATTAACCAGCCATATTACAACTATGAGGTATTAAATGCATTGATTTGTTTAAAAGCCTTAGGTGATTTCTAACTGTCACTTCTAAGCCATTTCTAGTTAGCACACTTTCAAATGTAAATCAGTGTGTAGTGGAGTTAATGTTGTTGTAATACAAGGTGGTGTTGTTTTTATTAAATATATACAATTTTGAATGTTGGTTTCCAGGAACTGAATCTGAGGGATCTATTAACAGCCATACTAAATCCTGATGCTTGTGTAAAACACTAACACGGTATATATTATATATATACAGGGTATATTTTATATATATATGGTATATATATTATATATATGCTGTATATATATTATATATACTGTAGATATTACTACAGTACATATAAAGTACATACTTACATACTGTCAAACAAGTAGAGAGCAATGTTTCTGCAGTCTTTGCTATAAATTCTTCAGTAAATCTATGCAATAACTGCATTTGTGATGTGTGGTAACTGCCATAAATCTGCAGCCATAAATAAACTAAGTGTACCTATCACTGACAGCTAGGTTAGACTGTATCAGGCCAGGTTTCAGGTGTATGTCTCAGAAGGCCAATCTACAGGCATTTACACATGTTTGGAGATTATTTCAGTATTATCTGTGAGGGGGGAAAAAAGCTCATGATGCAGCCTGATTAACTAAACTTACTAGAATTTAAAGAAAAAGCTCTTGAGATGATGTAATGCATATCATCAGCTGATTCTATATGTTCTATGAGATAGATATGACAAAACATTTAAAATGACAAGTTATTTTCAGTTACAGATTATGCCTGAAGTACAGAAATATATAAATATTAATTTGTCACTCATTGGAGGCAGAATGTAGTGTACCACCACAATGTCACAGATAAGAAAAGGGTAAATGTCATAGATAAGAAAAGGGTAAATGATGTCATTTCCTTAGAAAGAGAGGCAATTTCTCACTCTGGGCTGCAGAGTAGTTCTTCTTAAGTGTCATTGTTTAAATGTATAACCCAGTATTACTATTATACTCCCTGATGTACAAAGTTGTTTCTAGGTACTCCTTTCCATTTGTGCTTTAAATGTGCTTTAAACTAGCCATCACCTGGACCTGTGTACCTTTTTTGTAGGCAGGAGCTGGTGCTGTGTTGGGCAGGACGATCTGGGGAGTGCTGGGCATAGGTGCCTTTGGATTTCAGCTCACAGAAGCACCTGCTGGGAAACACATCGTCGTTACCACCCGTTCTCACAGCAGTACCCTGGTAAATGACTGCATCAGTGCCCTGAAACCAGATAGCGTCATCAGAGTTGGAGGAGCAGGAAACAAGGTATGAAAACTCCACATCTTTTGTTTTTACTGGGAGGTGGTACCTTTGGAAAAAGATGTTTTAAAGAAATCATTTGCTTACTTGCATGAATGTACAGGAGACTTCCTCCTCCTCCTTCCCCAGCATGACTTCTCTTGCTAGCATTCAGTCTGCTGTGAGGTAGAGAGAATTTGGTACAGGTGTATTTGTAACAGGGGCCATGGCTGAGGTCCATCTTCCCCAGTATTCTGTTTCTAGGAGAGAAAAAGTTTTAAGACCAGAATGACTAAATAGGAATTTAGTTTCATCACAATTAGACATTTCCACCTGTTCATTTTAATAGTTACCTAGCAGCACATACGAAAGGATAAAAATAGAAGCGCAGTGATATTTCCTTTGAAAAATTTCTGTGCATACAGGCAATACTCATTTGCTACAGTTTTTAAAGCTTAGTTTTGTCATGGCTATCAAAAACAGACCCTCCAATCTCTTTTCTCCAAAGTGTGCAAGGCCCGAAATGGCACCAAGACAACATGATATGAATATGATATGGAGATAGTTTCCAATTTGTTTTTTTTTATTACTTGCACAAGATGGAAATTCTTGTTTCTGAAACTAAAAGCAGATTTTCATCCTATAGACCGTCTTTATTACAATCAAAAATAGATTATTCAGAATGGTAATACAACATAGCTTTCTAAATCTGAATATAATTTCTTGTAATATTGGAAAGAAATGGCTGGCGTTCCTTTTCTGGCCATAAGTACATAAAATAAATTGATCTAATCCCTGTTTCCTGGTGTTATTTTTACCCATTTTTACCCATTTCTAAATGCCTATATTCTTCACAATGACTGCCACTCTCTATTCATAACAGATAATTCAACTTATAGAAGGCAAGGCATCTGCTTATGTATTTGCCAGTCCTGGGTGCAAGAAGTGGGATACATGTGCACCTGAAGCTATTCTGCATGCTGTGGGAGGTAAGTTAATAGCATTCAAAATTCCAAGATAAGTGAAACTGCATCAGTTTCTTTATATGTTTCATAGAAAAGCAGAATTTCCAAACATGTCATTGGAAAGAAAAATGACAGTATGTATATATTTTCAAATAGTGACAATTCACTAAGAGCTTTAAGCCCTTAGAAATCAACAGTAAGTCCAAAGAGACAGCACATCATGCTCTGGAAGGCATGATATGATCTGTTTTATCCTGGAATAATAAAATCAATAACTGTCAAATAATTTTAAAAGCCAAATTCTGAATTTTTTTGTATATTAATTTTAATATTTTCAAAACAAATGGCTTTTTTTCTGTTGGCTACTATTTCACAGTAAAATCATGCTGTCCTACTAACTGGATATAGTAGTTTATTATTAGTAACATATTATGTAATATGTGGACATTGAATACTTTAAAATGACAAAAGTAGGCCAAGCCATGCAGTTGTTCCTCAGATGTACAAACTCCAGAATTGAGTTACTCATGTAATTCAGTAAAATTAGTGGTCTCCAGCCAACATTAACCACTTCCCTAACCCCTTACCCCATAGAAAGGTGAAGTTATGAAAAGTCTCACTGAGAAGAATTCAAATCCAAGTATTGTTATTACAGTTTTTCTGCTATTCACGTTGATAGACCTTTTACCACCATATACTAAAGTTGTGGGGTTTGACCTCCAAAATTTTGTCAGGCAGAGATAACAGGCTTCATAATGACATTATTTAACTCCTCTGCAGACTCTAGCATTGATAACTGGGATAGCTTTAAACAGGTTAGCTCAGGCACAAAAAAGCCCCAACCAATCTGGGGCAGCACAGTGCTGTATTTAGCCTCCTTATTATATAGGTATCTTGTGCTTAAATGAGCTTGCATAAAGATCTGTGTTGTTCCTGCTAAGTGATTTCTAGAAACTCACTTAAAACCAGCTGGGGTATTTCTATATTATGTTACAGTTTGTTGTATAGACAACAAACTTTTGGCTTTTACTTGAACTGAGGATTTTTCTTTCCTTTTTGTCAATGGCCAATGTAAAAACTACTCAGGAAGTATTTTAATTAATCTGTAAGAGATGTTGTTTTCCTTTTCCTGAAACACAAGGAATTAAAGTATTGCTGAAAGAAAATAAAACCATTAGTTATTTGATTTTAATCAATAAAGATTTGTTGCGTTTAAACTGGAAGGAAAGATACATCACATCTGAAGACAGGCATGTGTATGCCAAAGACCGTCTTCTTTTAGTTATATCATTTGTACTAATAAAACAGATTATCTCCAACTCCTGTTTGCTGGAATATTTTTTTCCTTTTTTTTTTTTTTTTTTTTTGCAGGCAAGATAACTGACATTCATGGAAATTCATTTCAGTATAACAAGGAAGTGAAACACATGAATTCAGCTGGGGTCCTTGCCACTCTGAGAAATTATGACTATTATGCCAGTCGTATTCCTAACACCGTTAAACAATCTCTTGTGCCTTAAAGCAGTAATGCATCTTCACCTGGTCTGGAAGGCTGAGAAAGTGAGCTTGGAGAAAAGGAAAGAAGAGAACTGAGGTTGAAATTTTGTTTTATAGAATCTGAATTCTTACATTCAGGTGTTCAACAATTTCAAAATTACATACAAAATCTCTAAGTATCTGTTGGATCAGACTGTTTTGCTGTGTTCGGCAGACAACATCAAAACAGTCACATTTCTTCAGTAGTGGTTTTCCACATTCTTTGGGGAGTACTGATTCTTCGTGACTGTGCTTAATATACTGCTAATCATAACACTACAGTCCAAAAATCATCTTAATATTCAGGGCACAAAATAATGTGAAGTGTTTTACCTGATCTTGCTCAATGGTTTTTGTTGTATGTAGTCAACAAAGGTTTATTGCATTAAATACAAATGGACTGAGAATTTGCCTGTATGGATTAGCCCATTTATTATAAAGTTGACAGTTTTGATTCTTAGAAGTGAATCTTTGAATTTTTCAATCTGCACTCAGTTTTGGGGTGGCCAAGATTGCTATTTGTGGTGCGTTGGGTTGTCCGAATTTTGCAGGAGCCAGGACACAGTCCAGCAGGGGCTCTGATGTCCCAAGCAGGGGTTCCTGGATCACTGGATCCATCCAGGATCAGTGAAGCATTAATACAGCAGGGTTCAGGACACCTCACTTGAGGAAAATCCACGGAAACTGTGACAGGGGGAGGAGTTCCCAGCACCTCTCTGATGATCTGAAATGCCTGACAGGGTCCGTGCCACCTCAGTCTTGGAGAGCTTTGGGCATCCCAGGTCATTTTGTCATTTATGGGGACAACAGAAATGCCGGAACTTCAAAATGTTTATTGTCCAAATTTTGAGAGAAACAAAGTCCAGGTGCCTTTCCAACAGCCCCAAGAGTTGAAGAACCTGACACTACCAATTCTCCCTCCTGTGGAACACAGGCATGTTAGGGGAGGGGAGAGAACAGAGGATAACATCACCTGAAATGAACTTTAAACTTGAAGAGCCTGTTTCCATTTTGAAATGAAGAGCCAGCTTTTCCATAGGTGTAGAGGTTAAGAAATTATGATTCAACTGTTCAGTCCAGTTGAACACAAAAGAGAGCAAGTAGTAAACTACATACGACTAGCTAAAATTGCCAGCCTTAGCCAAAACAGATGAAGTCTCTTCAAGGTGAATTTAGGATTCTGGGGCATCTTGAACCAGTGGGGCCCCTATGTACTTTGTCTTCTCCAGATTTTGTGACTCAAGTCCCTCACCCTCAAATTAAGGAATCCTCCCTTTCCCTCACAATGTGACACATTGAGGCATGCCATGAAGAGATGCCAGTTTTGATGGACAATACATAGTCGTGCTTTTCTTCCTGTTCTCTGTATGTGGGTAGAAGAGTGGCTTATGTCAGGTTCTCGGGCTTGTGGTGTCAGGGAGGGTGCCTGAACTTGGTCTCATGCTTACGTAAAGACTGAATGCTTAAAGTCTCCCAGCATTATTTTTTTTTTGGTCTTAACCTCTGCTGACACTACGAATGGCAAAATAGCCTGCAGGTTGCCCAGCACCCATGATTACTTTCTCCCTGCCCACAAGATTAAGTCTTCCAAATAACTACACTCCTGGTCTACTCAAACCATCTTTAAGCTAGCACTGAACTTCAAGATGTAAAAAACTATGCTTTCCATAAATAAGAAAATTACAAAATTCAGTTTTCAATAGTGTGTTCAAGTTACTTCTTTCTCCTTTCAGCACACAAGGTATTTAACAACTCTTAATTTACTTAGAGTCCTTAGATTAGATCTTTTCCACACAGTACGGTAACACCAATATGACTTCATTGGCTTAAAGCTGGCTCTATTTCCAGCAAGCAGAGACATCTTGAGACCAAAAGATATGACCAAGGCAACTCTTGCCAAAGTGCTCCTAGTCCTCCAGTGTGCACACACAGAAAAGTATCTAAAGAAGCTCTTTCCTTAATGAGGTCATCTTATCGTAACATTTACAGATAAATTAGCGAGACTATCACTTACCTCATTCTATCAACATTAGCCAGTCCATAATGCTATCATGACATTGGATTAAGGCTGCATATGTAGGAACAACACATGCTTCTATTCCTTTAATCTATAGCCTCCCTTTCTTCTTCCTCAGGTGCCTGATTAGTAAGATATGCAAGACAGATCCAGCCTGTTTTAATTAGGGCCTTCCTCATATTTTGACCCATTACAAGTTTAATCATTCCACATACTGATTGTGACTGAAGTTTGAACCAGGTAGCAAGTACAAGATCTAATTTTACTGCCTGTTATACATAATTCTCATATTTATCTTCTGCAGGATTCTTGGACATGCATGCTTTAGTATTCACATCAAAATCTGCATGTGAATTTGCAAAGAACATTAAGATAAAATGTTGAATGACTTAGACAACACAAAGCCTGCCTTAATTCTTTCTATCTAATCACTGAAATACAAAGTACAGAACCCACTGTTAATAATCTTCATCTGTGTCTCTATATTCTTATTTTTATATGAAACTTGCTATGCATTTGAAAATTTTCGGAGTGTAAGCCCCAACCTAATTCTGCTGTAATTTATCTCTCTGCTCATTTACAGTTGCCTCAATGGGAGTAAACATGCGACATACATCAGCTTCTACCTGATGTGTAAAGATGCTTATGCATGGAACCACTTCCCATGCCTACAGAAACTGTAGAACTTCTAACATGGGAAAATATAAAGGAAATTTTAAATAAACTGCAGCAGCAGGAACCAAGGTTAACAACCAGCACCTAAGGTGCAGTCATGCTCTGGTTGTACCACTATGCCCTCTGCACAAAACAGCACCGGTCCACCAAGCAAGCATTGGAGAATTTCTCTGCTAGCACATTAGGTGCTACAGCACCATCTAGAAAATAGACAGGGGAAAAAAAAAAAAAAAAAAAAAAAAAAAAAAAAAAAAAAAAGCAGCGACACTGCATTGTCCTTGTAACAATGTGAACTTGAGTGCCTCGTGAAAAACTGATGAGACAGCATTTTTGTAATTCATTCCAAGGCCAGTTTGACCCACTGCAAAATCTGCGTGTTTGTGAGGAGTGTAACAAGTAGTATTCTAAGAAAACAGATGGGTTAAACTACTGCACCCGAACGTGTCGGTACGCGCTGCACTGCTCCATTAGTTTGTATCATTACACGCAGAAAGGGACGGACGCTACTTTTCCGGTCGCTACCAGCCACCTAGCTCAGGCGCGCTTCCAGCGAACTCCCGCACAGCCCTGGGGAAGGCCCTGCCCAGCCGCTGGGGCAGCTGTGAGGAGAGAGGCGCCGGCAGCAGGCCGCTCTGAGGCCACGAGCACGCCGAGAGGCCGGGCAAGGCCCCACACAGCCGGCAGCGGCTGCCTCGGGGCTGCACCGTCCGCGCCACCTGCCCCTCTGGCTCCAACCTCACCGCCTCCTCCCGGCGGCCCCAGCAGGGACGGACGGACGGACGGACGGACGGAGAGCAGCCCGAGCTCCCCGCCGGCCGCTGTCGCCGCCGCCGCCGCCGGAAGGGGCGGGGCGGGGGCCGATGGGGGCGGGGCCTGCGAGCGGGCCCCTGCCGAGCTGGCGCCGCCGCGCGCTCCGCCCCGCCCCACCCTCCCTCCTTCGGTTCCGGCGCGGCGCTGGGGTGACGGCGGGGATGGCGGCGCTGAGCCTCACCGTCAGCGCGGGGAGCCCCCCGCTCGGTAAGTCCGGGACGTGCCGTGCCGTGCCGTGCCGTGCCGTGCCGTGCCGTGTTGTGCTTCCCTCCCGGGGACACTCACACACGCCCCCTCACCCGGCGGGACGCCGTCCCCTCTCCGCCCGCCCGGCCGGCCCTGCGCGTGGCCGCCGCGTTGCATCATGCCGGTTGGTCCCCGCGTGCGGCGGCGGGCGAGGCGTGTGGGGGGGGGGGGTGGGGGCCGCGTGCCCGTCTTTCCTCCCGCGGTCCGGCCCCGCTGCGTCCCCGAGCCCCGCGCCCGCTGCGGTCTTGGCGCGGGTCCCCTCTCGCTTCGCGGGGAGGGGGGGGAGCACCGACACACGGAGGGGCCGGTCCGCGGCGGGCAGGCCAGCGCTGAGGGGGCCGCGCCGCCGCTCGGGACTGGGCCCCGCGGGGTCCCGTTGGCGCCTGAGGTGATGAGGAGGCGCCGGCCCGGGAGCCCGGCCGCGTTTCGGGCTCCGCCGCGACCCCTCCACCAGGCCTGCCTGGCGGGATGGGAGCAGGGACCGGGCAGCGCCGGTCCTGCCGCCCCCGGGGGCCGCGGGTCTCCGGCTGGTTGCTTTTCGAGTGGCTGTTCGGGCCGTGATGACAGTTGCCGGCACTTGACATAACTTACGCTGAAGAAACTGAGTCATAGGTAGATCCCTCGAGTGACTTAGCACGTTGAGGCTAAATTTTTAAGGCAGCCCTAGTTCAGAGTGCTTGTTTGTGAGCTCTGTCTAATTGCTGCTATCTCTCCTTCTCGGCTCTAACCTGCTGCTAAAATTCGGTTTGTTGGGGGCGCTGGTTCAAAGTTGCACTGCAAAAATCTTGCTCCTTTAATTGCTCACCATCCTTCGATGTTATTTTGCTTATAAAAATGCGAGGACCTCCTTCATTAGGCTTTCTGCCAGCTAGAAACAGTCTGTTATACATGCACCGTCCTATTTCTTCATTTTGTTACAACTATTCAGAATACGTTCTCTTCCCATTCTTCATCTTAGTTTATTGATTTCTTTTTCATGCTGTTATTATCAAATGTATTTTGGAGTTGAATACAGCTTGCATGGCTACTGATTTAAGGTAAAACAATATATGAGTTTTAAATAACATTTCTCCTGGTACTTGTTTATAATGATTTGTTAGAAAAGGTATGATGCAATGTGAGCTATGATTAGCACGGGTTTAGGAGCTTTGGAGGATTCTTTACTTTTGATAGCTGGTGAGTGGCACTAGAGATTTAATTCAGGAGATTGCATAATTGTGTCAGAAATATTACAGATGAAACACTTCGGTAAACATTTGTATCAAGAAGTGCACATCCTACCTCTTACTACTTTGTACTATTCATCATGGCTGTGCACTGGGAAAAGTGTAGTAGCTTTTAATGTCACTGGTGTTAATTACATAGCTTGGTATACATAGTACTTGTCATTTTCAAAGCATTTCCGTGCACATTACTAAAATACTTACATGTCTTACAAGCATGTTGCATAAGGGCTCCCACCCTGACTTTCACAGATGGGTAACTCAGGGATGGCAAAAGAACCTTGACTTACTGTTGATAAAAGCTTAATGCTACAAGAAGGGTTTGCAGCTGAGCAGAGGTCAGAGCTAGGGAATTCCTAGCTCCAGTGCTTTGTATTTAGTGCTTTGTATTTAGGCCAGTGTATTAATAGCTTACAACATCATCTGCCTTGGGTAG